ATCGTTAATTGTAATAATTAAAAGTAATAACACAGCAACAATTAAAGTAACCAAACCTTAATTGTTACACTACAAAATAAGAATCAAATGAAAGACTTGTTAACAAGATAATATAAGGAAACATTTCTAGTGATCAAATAATAGATTACAATTAACAAACTTATCAAGCTCAATGGAGTAAACAAATTAACTCTGAAAAAAAAAGAAAACCAGATTAGACATTAATTGTTTGTTAATCGTGAATAGTTAACAACAATTAACCCACTAGAAGTTGATAAGATCAAGGATAAATCATAAACATTAAAAATCAAGAGTCAAAAGTAAAAGTTGATTACCTTTCCTAATCTTTAGCTAATTATTAGCCCAAAAAATAACAACAAAAACAAATGATCAACCTCCTCATCTTCATCATCTTTATCATCCTTATCATCTTTATCATCCTCATCATCTAATAATGGGATCGGTTAATAAGGATTCGTGCTAATATACATTATATATTGTTCATCTTATTAAGGTCAAAGCCTACGGGATATTAATAGGAAGCATAGATTAGACTTTTTTAGTTTGCTCAATCAACGGTTATCATGGTAATTAATGTTACCTTGATTACAATTAAAATCCCTAAATTGTTATGGTTAATTGTTGAGAGATTCAATTGTTTTTACCTTTGTTTAATTTTCTTTTTTTCCTTTCATGGGTTACATTTCAATTCATCCATTCATCAATTCATTCATTGGAGATTAAGATTAGTTGTAAAATTATTCTCATTGTTTTAATTTTAATTCTTGACTTTTATTATTACTTAATTTTGGATGATAACATTCAACTCATACTAATGAATGACCATCAATTATCATGGTGATGATTATTAATACACTAAACTGACCTTTATCAGAAGCCGTATCTTAATGTTTTGTTTTTGTTTATCAAAGTCTCAGATTAATTAAGCATAATAATCATCAAGTCTTTAAACGTGCTAAGGTAAATATTATCATATCATTTACACACCTTAATCTGTACACGTTGAGATAATCTTTTAAGCTAATTAATCTTGATTCATTATCTCTTTACTTTTTTTTTCTTCTTTGTCTTACTTTTCCTGTGAATAGAATCAAAGTTGTTTAAGAAAAAGATGAAATCTGATTATCCTCTCAACTCATCATCATCATCATCATCATGAAGAAACTATTTATGAGGTTTTCCTACCTTTCGTCATCATCTTTATCCTTTATACCTGTGACTTTTTACCAACTTCTTTACACACTTACCTTTAAATCAGATTATTTATGACTCTGATCCGGATAAAGATGATGATCATTTCTCATGAATAACATCATGTTAACAATTTTTTTATCGTTATCTTTTTCCATACCTTATCCTTGACTCTTATTACCAAATGACTTTTCATCATCATCTCTGATGAATTAGAGTCTTTATCAACAAGCTAAGACATGGAAGTGCTAAAGGTGAGATTTATGAGCTTCTCTTTCACCAAGTATCATCATGGAAAATCAAACAAGAGCTAAAATTAGTATTAAGATGAAGAAGAAGATGATGATGATTATGGCTATGGTTCAATGTTGCAATAGAATTGAAAAAGGTAAGAGGATGAATAGTGAAAGAGAAACAAGTTGATGAACATCTATTTATATTTATTATTTACCTGAGTGAGAATGAGAAGATCTCACACCTATGAGAGCAAAAAAGATGATGATAAAGATGATAAAGGAATAGAAGATAAATAGAAGATTCTAAAAAAAAGTCTCTCAATTTGAATTAAGGTGAAATGATTTACTCTGATTAAATAGACTGGACAAAAGAGATAAGAAAATGAATCGAAACAATTTTTTCTCCATCTTAATCTTAATCTCTCTTTTGCCTCTCTTTCTCTTACTTCATCTGAATCTCCATTCTCTTAATCTCATCAACATGCATTAGGTGTTATTAAGATTCTCAATTAATCTAATCTGTAGCTTCTTCCCATAATTATCATTTAGCTTTTCCATCCTGTTTATCAATCGTATAAAGAAAAATGTTATCCAACAATCAGAGTGAAGTTTATCAATTCCATTAATCTAGTTGATGAATTTCATCTCATGCTTGGGTTAATTGTGATTACTGAGATTAAACAGTTAACATTTAAAACCTTTTATCAATTTCACCTTCAAATCAACAATTTAACATCAATTTGTAAACTTTTTTTTTCTTCTTCTTGTCATTTCACCTTCACCTTTGTTGTTGTTGGTGTTTATTTTTACAGGTAAAACTTTTACCTTCTTATCAATTAATTGTTACCCTCAAAATAAACTACAAGTTAATTGCATTTGATAATCTCAATTGCAATTAGATTATCATTTACTTTTTTTTTACAACATCCTTTTAATTTTGTTTCTTTCTTCCTCTTATATCAACATTATTATCCAATTGTAATGCAAATGGTAATCAGCTAATTGTTATGAGTTTGCAACAACAACAACAATCAAAGGTAAAAATGATAATAAATATGATGAGTCTATTTGATTATTATCACAAACAAATAAATCTATTGCTAAATTATATCCGATAAGTTAATCTGATCTTGTTATATTTTCCTGGGGATTAATATCAATGTCAAATCTAAACAATAATAAATTGTAAATTCAATGGAAATGATTGCTTCTTATATTATGATTCTCAATATCAAAAGGTGAACAAGAATTGCTTTGATTATCATTGTGATAGCCAAAGACTATGACATTTATATTAAGAACCAGTGGAAATGTTATTTTCTAGACTTGGGATAAATGTATTAACTTGAATACGATGCTTTTTCTGGGCTTGGGATTATATCACATGAAAGATGAGGATGAAGGGAGAGATACTGATGTTCACTGGACAGAACAGCATAAAAAACCTTAGGAAAAAATATCTCTCCGAGATATTCACCATTCAGAATCTATGATGATGACTATTATCATCATCATCATCTTCTTATATGATTTTCTTACATTCTAATGGCATTACAATGTTATCTTTGCGTGATTACAATTTTTTGCTCTCTCAAGTCCATATATTATCACCCAAATATAAAGAGACAGGGTCATGGGTCTAAATATAATGTGTATTGTGTGACATTTATTTGAATGAGAGACAAATAGATAACACCATAATCATGGTAAATATTAGCAAAAGAAAAGTATATCCGATTGATTTGATCAGAAATGTTCAGAATTAGTTGAATCTTTTATATTATCATCGCCATCATGAAAACTATGAGTATATATATACATCTACATGTATAATGTTTGGCTCATAATTCAATTGTTATTGTTACTATTATCCTTTCAAAGTTTTCCTTATTTTTATCATTGTTTCATGTTCTGTATTCTCAATGAGATATTTATCTTTATGTATTATATTGTAGCTTTCATGGGAATGAGAAAAATTTTGAATTTCTAACTTTTTTTCATCAGAAATTTTTCATTACAATCTAATACTACTCAATAGATGTAGGAAAAATATTCTCCGAAAAGTTCAGGGCAATTTATCAATTGGTAAAGATACAATACTCTTCATGGGGAATTTGACTTGAAGGTTTTCAATGACTATGAAAACCGATTGAGTGTAAGGTTCAATTTGGTTCATGACCAATTTCAAGGTAACCTGAATGAATACCGAATGAAATTAGAAACCTGGGCGGAAATAAGTCTTTAGGATTAAGAGTTTAGAATTTTTTTAGAAAAAAGAACTTTTTTTTCGCTCTCTCTCTCTCTCTCTCTTTCTTCTTTACCTTTTGCCGACACCTTAATCACAATTCGAGTTGATATTAATCATACTCTTTGTTTCAACTGATTTAAGATTGTTTGTAAATCATAATTGCGTGATTACAATTATGATTACGATTATGATTAGGTAGCAATGATTATACTTGTTGCTATTTGAACACATTGTCGTTTCATCATCAACCCACAAGGTATGATAATGATGATGATGGTTTAAGATGATGAATTAAGTATATTTGATGAGGATGAGAAATTAATGATGATGATGATGATGATGATGATATTAATAAGCCTAATCTAAAGTGATATCCACGCAAAGATAAACTTGTTTAGCATTTTTTTTCTCAATCAACTGTACATAAAATGAGCTTTTGTTGTTTCTTATTTTCTGTTTATATACAGAAAATGTTTTAAAATTCAAACGGATTAGGATAAAGTTTAATCTTTTCTTTTTCATCATCTAATCATAATTCATCAACTGTCCATCATCATCATTAGGTTTCCATTTCTGATAAGGTACTTTGAACACTTCCTGAGTTACTTAAAGCAAATCAAATATAAAACTGAGTGATTCTGATTGATTATCTAAAAAGAAAAGGTTGAAATCATTTAATATAATCACCATGAAAATCAAGAAAAGGATAAGATACAAAATATTCAATATCTTTCAATCATCATGAAAATACTGATTGAAAAAAAAAGATTTCAATCAATATAAAGATAAACAAAATTCATCATGAATTTACAATCAATATTTTCAGATTCATTGAGAAAAACAAAAAGTAAACAGAAAATAAATGTTTCAAATATCCATTAGGAAAGAGACTCAGACATGATCAATTTCATGAGATTTCATCAATGATACTGATCAGCATGTTGAAATTTTCAACCATCAACCTTTTAGTTCAATTAAAATTTTGATAATCAAAAGTTAATTTAGTAACTAGCAATTCATAAGAAGGAAAAATCAATTAAAACAAGATTAAGAAACAACAGCAAAAAAACAAAGTTGATTGAAAGTCTAATGAATTAATTGATTCAATTAGCAGGATAAAATTTCCAGCAAACTAAACATTGAATGAAAAGGTGAAAATTGATATAAACAAGAGATTAAGAGATAAACTAATCATTTAATTAGATTTAGTTCATGTGTTGATAAGAGTGGAAAAAGTTCAGTTTAGAATCAGAATATTTCTCATGTTATATTATTTAGAAAATGGAAAAGTTATCGAAACTTACATGCATAGTTTAAGGTCGCATTTCGACTTGTTGCTTTACCGATCTCATTACGAGCCACACACCAATAGGTTCCAGTATCCTTTTATTGTGAATAACATGGAGGAAAAAAGTGACCCTGTAGGTAGGACCATTCGATTATGATGTTTACCAATCTTTTTACCGTCTTTGTACCATTCGATTGTTGGATTAGGATTACCTTCAGCTCGACAATCTAATTTGGTTGGTTCATTTCGACCCACAACGGTATCAGAGGGATGTTCAGTTATTCGGGGTGGACGAAGATGATCAGTTGATCCTATTATTTGAGAAAAGAAAGAAAAGATTTATGGTCAGAGGAAAAGATGATAATCTAATGGTCAAAATTGACTAAATTTGATTATGAGAAGTAAATCTTGATGAGAAGGATGAGAAGGATGAGAAGGACGAGAAGGATCATCAATTGTTATCATTTAATGTATTTTACTGGACAATTGGTATGAAAAGTGGGGAGAAGGTTATTGATTCAATTTGATTGTAATAGTTTATGTTATTGTTTGGTCAAGAGTGTCAAAGGTATTATGTATTGTTAGATTAAGTATAATTCAATTTCCTAACATGATAATCCCTTGTTTTGATCATCAGCTGATCAGTTACTTTCATCTGGTTCATTTAATGTATGAAAAATTATCACTTTTAAAGTGGATTGTTGGTTAAAGAGATGATTATTTACCATTATTATTGAATGATTTATTGGTCATCTCTATTTATTGACTATGAGAGAGTGAGAGAGAAAGGGAGAGAGTAAATTGAGATGATTATGTTGATGATTGGTCAAGATGGATGAGATTCAATGGAGAGTGGAAGTTGCAAAAATGCAAAAAAGTAAAACAAATGGGCATTTTGTCATAAAGATAACCAGAAGGGTCAAGCTTTGAGTGGCTGACCAACAGCTAATGCAAACTTGGAAACAAATGTCATCAGAGTGACCAGAGAGAGAGAGAGAGAGAGAGAGAGAGAGAGAGAGAGAGAGAGAGAGAGAGAGAGAGAGAGAGAGAGAGAGAGAGAGAGAGAGAGAGAGAGATTTAAACTTCCTCTTGTAAATATTTTGTGGGAAATTACTTTTGATTGTATCTAAACAATTAACTGATTTTCTAATCATTTTGATGATAACCAGATTATCTTTGGTTCGTTATTTAAAATGGACCGATTTGAGAGCAATCAAGTTGAACACAATCAATTGGTTAAACTTGATTGTTTTCATTTCTCACTTTTCATTTTAAAAGATTTAGGTTGATCACAAATTAGTGATTTATTAGTAATCAATCACATCAATTTAGACACAATCAGTGAATTATTATCAAGTTTTCATTTGATTAGTTTTAAATCAATTTCAATTTTCATCATTATGACCCAGATAAATTTGGTGATGCTTTAATTAACGTTGACCAGTTGATTTTATTGATAAATGAAACATTTCATCATTTTCTTGGCCAATTAAGGTTAATCATCACGAATCAATTGATAAACATGTTAATTGTGTGGTCATTATCATGAACCAATAACAAGACGAAAACAAACTGATATAATTGTTTACTTATCATTCTCATTCAAAGTTAATCTCATTAGGATAATTTACTTTTCCATGATGCTGATGATCAATTCTAAGGATTATCCTAATAGTAAAGATGAGAAACATGTTTACCGTTATAATTCATTGATCAGCAATAAGAAAAGAAAGGCAATCACCATCATCATCATCATCACTCTCAACTTAGATGATTGGAAAATTGAGCAAAGAGAATCAAAAGAAATCGATCAAGAGTATTGATCATCATCATCATGATTACAGGGAAAGAGAGAAGAAGAAGAAAAAGTGAGATAATAATCTGAACACGTAGTAAATTGTAGTAAAGGTGATTGGAAGATATTGAATGAAATTGAGGTAGAAAATGGAAGATGGGAAAAAATATTCATTCTAAGTGACTGGTAACTGTCAATTTTGATTCTTCAACTTGAGATGAAATAGTAATTGTAAACATTTAGATATTCACAACCACGAGAATCAACGGAAGCTTAATCTTCATCTCATTGAGTATTATCATCATGGTCTCTCAAAGTTTCAGAGGTGAAAGTTACTATTCATAAGATCCTATGAATGTTTATTGTTCTTGACTTTGTTGATCATTTCGGGATGTTGTTCATTATCATTTTCATCTTCAATTGGATTAACTATCACTTGGAATAATTTACTCACTTACACCCTCAAGCTCATTCATTCATTCAAATGAATTTTACATGAGAGCATCAAGAGAATCAAGTTTCAAGGGTGAATTTTTTTGCTACCTTTCTAAAGCTCTAGAAATTTACAAAGCTCAAACTTTTTTTTTCTAGCGAAATAAATGAAGGTGGAAAAAAATATATTCTAAATAGGGATGGAAACACTCATGGAATTTATTTCAACATATTAACATTTCCAGTTAAATGCTATTTAGAATTTAAATTGTTAACAATCAGTTGATTGCAATTTATTATTGTTGCAGATTTGCATTCAAATGATTTTACGTTTAACAACAAAGTTAACAAACTATTTAGTGTATTTGTGTTAATTGTACAGAAAGAGAAAAAGTTTAACATCATCAATTGAGGGCCATTAATTATTCGAGGGTCAATTGAACATTTCCTATTAATTTACACTACTATTTCCATGTAATTTTTTTCCATAGACTTTCAATATAAACATATCATGTTGATCATAAAAAGTATCATCAATTGATAAAAAAGTGCCAACTATTTCATACTCTCTGTGTGTTAATGATACACATTATGTGTTACATTTACAATAACCGGAAACACTTTTTACTGGGTGGCCTTTGACTTTCTTAAGGCTGAACTTACAGAGAGGGGGAGAGATTGATCTTCATATGGATACAACAACATTGGAAAACAAAAGTTACTTTGAAAGATAGAGAGAGAGAGAGAGAGAGAGAGAGAGAGAAAATTACAGAGGAAGAATGAAAAAAGAGCTTGCAATTTGTTGTAATTGTCAAAGTCGAAAGCTACTAATACACATAGACTATTGCAATTACATCGCTAATTGAACATTAAGACGAAGGGAACATGTTAATTGTGCGACAATCTGTTTTTCTCATAGGTCACAGTTATTTTTGTAAATTCTTTTTTTTCTCTCTCTTTCCTCTGTAAATTTTACTATTATTGCATCAATATCGACATTTGCATTATCATCAATCGTTTTTCTTGTAAAAATGTAGCGATTTTTGTGCTCTGTGTAGTATTTGAATTACATTTTCCAGTGAGAACAAAATCTTACAAAATGATCATTGGATCTGCAATCAGCTTCATTTACATTGATCTAATTGTCTAGTTGATTTTGCTGTTAATCTACAACTTGATTGGTTTAATTGTGATTAAATTGATGATTTATCCCTGAATTAAGTAGATTATCAATCAAATAAACATCATTTACCCTCAATCAGATAACCGTTGTAATATTTGTACTTTTCATCCCTTGTCAATGAATCAAAAGCATTTTTTGTTGCAAATCTGATTTGCTTGTTTTGGATTAGATGAGATTTGTCAAATTATCATCATCATCATCATCTGATGTGTATAAGAAAATGGTCACGTGACTATTGAACAATATATATCATATTTACAAAAGTCTTTGGGTTTCTCAGGAAACCCTATGAAAAACAATTTCCCCATAGATGGAAATGTAAGATTTTTCCTTATAAATTAAACTGTAAAATTGGTTTGACACACTTTGGTTACAGTTATTATATTGGCTCCAAAAAAAGGGAAACAATGAGCATCTCTATGTAAAAATCAATGGATGAGAATGATGAAAAAGGGAGAAACAGAGACAAAATTGCAGAGATGAAAAGATCGAGAGAGAAGCAGATGAGAGAAAAAGATGAATGGATGATAAGAATGATGAAGAGAGAAAGAGGCTAAAGGTCAGTTGATAGAGAGAAAAAGAAAAGTGAGAAAAGATGAAAAGATGAAAAGAGATGATGATAAAAAAAGGAGTGGTGATTGAATGAGAAGGTAAGAGAAAACAAGATGATGATGAAAACAAAGATGAAGAAAAAAAAAGCTGAAAGTCAAAAGAAATGAAGAGAAACACACAAAGAGAAGATTAAAACGGAAGCTTCGAAGTTCTAAAATGTTCTAAGAAAATGAGAGAGTCCATTGAATAGGTAATTGTACCGAAGTGCCAATAATCACAACTATTATCGTCGAATGAAAAAAAAGCAAGATATCATTTTCTTTTCTCTTTTTCATCATCATCATCTCTCTCATTATATACAATCATCTTTCAACACATACCACACATTTCGTCCTCATCATCATTGACTTTATCAATTACCTTTTTTTCACAGGTAAACATTAAACACTATTAACTTTCATCGGCTCTTCATCACAGAGATAAAAATCATTCCAATGGTAGAAAAGTCATAAAAAATTAGACTCATCATCCATTCAATTGTAGAGTTGTAAATTTACACACTCAGGTAATCAAATTAACAAAGAGAGAGAGAGAGAGAGAGAGCATTAAATCCCATTGAAGTATTTGATAAACAACAATAATTTTGTCTCAAAAGGTTTAGGGTTGAATATTATTCAAATGATCATCACACTAATGGTCATCATCAATCAAGTACAATGGTAACTAGATTTTTTTTATATCGATGATAAATTCATTCAATGACCATACGAATCATTAAACACATTATGTTTATATAATTTCCCACGATTGTAAATATCACATAGACTTTTTTGCTATCGAAATTCATTTAAATGAATTGAAAGATGAGAATGGAAAACGGAACAAAAATTTATCTGAATATGAATTTAAAGATTATCATTTTTTGGTAGAAATCAATTGATTACAATCGAGACCAGGATCTCTCTCTCTCTCTCTCTTTCATAAGTTTAACTGATTGACCATTATCTCCATCGTCATAATTATAAACCATTGACCATTGATTGTTATTTTCTTTGACACTTTTGGTGGTTGATTGTCATTGTTATCAATTTATTATTATTATCATTTCAATGGCAGTAAATATCATCTGTTACTTTTTTTTGACTGATCAGTTTGAATTGATTTTCGAGATGACCATTGGTCAATCAATTATCGATTAATATAAATCATATGAATTCATCTTTAGTAAACTAGATTGACCATTTCCCTAAATGTGGGAGGAAAAGTGAATGATCAGCTTAATGGTCAATCTTTTATGCTGATTTCAAGAGATGTGTAAACAACAACAATTTAACAACTGTAATAACAATTGACCAATTATTTGATTACTTTTTGACTTATAATCATAAACATGTTTACAATCAAGAGATAATTATTCATTAACTGACTTAAATTACTTACCTAATGTAAATAATTTGGAGTATGTTGTAGTTGGACAATCAGTTGATGGCATTGATGATGACGATAACAATTTACCATTAATATTATCATGATTGTTGTTGATCATGTTATTATTATTGTGATGATGGTTAATTGTTGATGTTGAATGATGATAAGTTACTTCACATTTGTAATTTGCTTCATCACTTAATCCTAAATTTTTAATCCTTAGATAAGTAATCCCGGTAAGAGTAATATTTGTATCGTCCATTGATATCCTTTCGGGTTGACCAATAAATGAACCTGATACTTTGTGATGTCCACCACCAGTAAATGAATATGAATAAATATGTTCCCATTGTGACGAAACATTTTTAAACCAAGTGACCATTGAAATGGAACCACAACTTTTAATATTTACTTCACAAGGTAATGAAGCAATTTGATCACCAAATGTCGCGATTTCATGGACATGATTAGATATTGAAGATGATGAAGAAGACGATGATGATGGAAATATTGGAAATGATGATGGAGATGGAGACGAGGAAAATGAAGAAAATGAAGATAAAGATGATTGAGATAATCCTTGAACATTTGGAACACAATAAGTTATCAATAGAAAGATAATTAAACAAGAACAAAGGAAAAGTAAATTAATCAATGACGATAAATTCATTTTCATTCACTTTAATTATTTTGATTTAATACATTAAATAGTTGATTAGTTGATTACAATCTTTAAGATTATCAATATTCTTCTAGAAAACACAAACAAGCATGATTATAATTCCCATTGAATTGATTTCAATCCAATTGAAATGATTGACACACAGAAAAAATCAAATTCACACAGAAACAATCCAATCTTGTTACTTTTCAGAATTAAATAATTACGTTAATTGTTGCTTTAATTTCCCTTTTCCAATCATTGTTAAATAATCTTGTTGACTGTTCACATTGAATTTTATTAGGGTAAGTGTATTAATCTGATGTTGACAATCAACTAAATTGCCGGTTAACTGTTAACTAGAATGAAACTTTTCTTTTTCTGTTTTGTCGCAACAGAGCAAACTCATCAATAGGATTCATCTTTAAAGGTTATCATCGTTTGAAATACGGTTAACATCTCCATCTATTGGATGATTAACTTATTTTTCATAGTGAAATCCTGCATAAGTATCAATATGCAGATTTTTTTTGTTTCTGTTCATAATAAAGTTATCTTACTATATGCAGTTCATCATGTTTATAGAATTGTGAATTCAGAGTATTAATAGTAACGAGTACAGATCTTATGATTGTTACAGCTACTTAATGACTAAACCATTTTTCGAAAACTATTTCACACCTTCCTCTTGAAAAATTTAAAAGCTCAACTGAATGCGTCCTCACCTCGTGCTCTGATATGACCTTTAGAGTTTGTGATAAGAGATCTGCTCTGCCAAAAATCTTTAAATGACCTCTTCATGATACATACGAAATGAAATTCTAATTCATAACCCAAATTCCTTTCTTCTTCAAGTGAAGGGTCATTCTTGCAAATGAGTAAGAGCACCAATTTTCGAACGAAAATGATGTCTGTGTATTGGTCATTAATAAATATTGAATGTCGATGAATGATTGCAAAACAAATTTGAAACGGTCCTGTCATATTATCTCGTTACGTTATGCTATCGAATCGCTTTGATTGCACTTGTCTGCCTGATTTTAGCTTCGGTCACTTTCAGAAAGTATCTTTCAATTATCACACATTTACTTGCATTTTATTTCGAAATAGAAATGATAATATTTCCATTTAATATCGATCATAATAAAATGGAATAATGCATAATATGAAATAAATAAAATAAAAAACGCATTAACAAATTCATGAATAATATGCAAAAATGTGCAGATGAAGCCGAAGCTGCATCTGCTAGGTTAGGTTAGGATTTTAGGTTGAGAAGTTACTTGACTAAGGTTTGAACCCAAGTCTCGTTCTTAACTCAACATGTGCCTTCACCACCAGTCTGGTTGGTGAGGCATTTATAAATAAGCTTTCCGAGTTTAATACCATTCACGGATCTAACGGACTGAACTATTTTAGCACGACTTACCAAATGAGCTAGTTTTTTTAAAATATGCAGATTTGTTGTTCAGTACCAAATGTAAGGAATTCAAATAGAATTATCATATGGAAAATAGACTAAAAAGTAAATAAATTAATTTTAGTTAACTTTGTTTGAAAAGATTTATATTATATATCTTCAGTAATAAATATTTTTCAATAATGAACATAAGGTAATAGTGTAATATTTTTAAGGATTTTAATTGACTACTCAACAGGATAAGTATCGATTGGCACATAGTATAAAAATTTAATAAACCTTGAATATCGGTCTTGGTTGTCAGTAAACTTTATGAATTTGCAACTAAAACAGGTATTTGTCATCTTGAGCCCCTGTTTAGTTTTACAAAGTTTTTAGAAGTTCTTGTCAATTTCATACATATTAAAAACTTGGTTTGAGGTGTATAAATATTTATGTCGAGAAAGATTCGACGTATAACCTTTACCAGAGAGATAATTATTATCTGATGATCGATAGTTTTATTGGAGTGTTCCATAAACCAGACAATACCGTCAACCAGCTTCGTGATTATTTATTGTTTTCTTCTCTTTTTGTTGGAGAACTTGAAATCAATGGTCGAATGTTGTGATTTGCCTGACAACAAATTTTATTGATGATTTATGGTCAATTAGTCAAGTTCCGATGATACAAAAATGTCACTTGGGTCAAATTTACGATTAAGCGATGCTGGATTATTTGTTATTAATTTTTCTGTTTTTCGTTGTATGATTGTCGATTTCGTTTTGATCTTTGACGAGAAATTATGGTCTAGTTTAAATTTGAGGAGTAGAAAGAAAATTGTAAGTTTTTTTTATCAAAATGAAACATTTAATTTAAGGTTGTTCGAAATGCATCAATATCTCTCTGGTGGTTCTACAATAATAAAATTACATCTTTAATCCTTCTGGTAAACTAGTGTCTTCTTCAAATGACCCCGTTCCCTCTACGAATTCCTCGTACGTGCTCTTCTCTTTAAACGGTCTTTTACCAAGAATTTCGATCATATCATCGCGATTAAGAACCTCTCTTTCCAAAAGCCTTTGTGCTACCTGAAAGAATTACAAGATAGAAATAGCTATTATTCCATCATTACATGTATGATAATAGCAAAAGAAAAAAACGAGAGAAAATTCTGCATCAATTTACCTTTTCAACATCTTTTTTATTTTCTGTTAATAATTTGATTGTTCTATCGTAGGCTCTTTGAACTAAAGCTCGAGACCCGTTATCTATCAACTGTGAAGTAGCTTCGCTGTATGGTTTGTCCACTACAAGTTCACCAGGTTGTGGCATCTCGAAGGATAAATTTCCAACCTTTGAATTCATACCGAATTGTACAATCTGTGCATAAGCGTTTTGTGTCACTTTTTGAAGATCATCTTGAGCACCGGTGGTTATTTTGTTGAAGAAAATTTGCTCCGAAGCGCGTCCGCCCAAAGTCATACACATTCGATCAAACAATTGCTCTGTGGTGTACAAATATTTTTCCCGAGGAAGAGCTTTATCAAGAATATCACTACGTTTAGATGCCGCTAGTACAACCACATTAGTTTTCGTATTGAAACCATCCATTTCGACTAAAAGTTGATTCAATGTGTTTTCTTGTTCCGAATGACCGCCGACATTTCGTCCTCCTCGCTTTCTACCGACTGCATCAATTTCATCAATGAATAATATAATGTGCATTTTCCGAGCCATGGCGAACATGTCACGAACACGAGATGGACCAACACCGACAAACATTTCCAAAATTCTGAACCATTAACCGAGATGAAAGGACATTTGCTTCACCGGCAGTCGCTTTTGCCAATAAAGTTTTACCAGTACCTGGAGGACCAGTAAGCAAAGCGCCTTTGGGAATCTTAGCACCAAGTTCGGTGTATTGTTGAGGATTACAAAGGAAGTTGACAAATTCCATGATTTCGATCTTTGCTTCCTCACAACCAGCAACATCTCTGAACTTGACACCAATGTCCGTTGGATTAATCACTTTGGCCGTAGATTCTCCCATTCCAAAGATTCCACCACGACCTCCCATTCGTCCTCCCATCATGTTTCGAGATTTAGAGAAAAAGTAGAACATACTACCGATGATTATCATAGTAGGAAGGAAACTGAGAAAATCTCGACTGTTTTTTTTTGAATGAAAAGAGAAAAAGAAAGAAAGAGAAATTAACATTTTCTCATTACCAATGGAAATGAAATGAACTTGATGAATTTCATCACGAGAATCAAACATCGTAATTGTTACTTACACTTCCATTTCATTTCTATAAACAACAGGAACATAATTTGAAGGTTCAATACTCATTTCGGCTTGGATATTTTCCAGATTACGTTCAAAGGCATCGACACTTCCGATACTAAACCAAAGGACGGAAGTTGTATCTGCTTGAGAGGCATCGGAATAAAATTTAACTCGAACCCATTTCTTGTTGACTACCTCTAACTTTTCAACGGTTCCTCGAGCCAAATGATTGTTGACAAAATCTTTCCATGAGATCTCTTTGTATCTCAACTCATTGAGAACCAATAAACCCAAAAGAGCTGAAGCTCCATAGGCGATATAAGGTAAAGTCTTATTTGATCCTGATGATCCTTTACCACCGCCGAAACTAAAATCCCATTTCCAGGTATATTTATTTTGAGAAGATGAGGATGATGAGGAAGATGAAGACTTTGCTCGTGATGAGGGTTCAAAAACAGATTCTTTTCTCTCACTACTACGTTTAGCTGAACTCGATTCTCCAGCAGCTTCCTTGGTTTGATTCTCAGTTGGTGTTTTCTTATCTGTGAGAGAAACAAAATGGCGTCAATAAAGAACATTCAAAATTCGACCAAATCAAAGTCACATCAAAATCACTTAAGAAAACAATTTAAGACACAAACAAACAAATAAAACAAAATGTCACCAACTCACTTGATTTACCAAAAATTTCTCAAATCTTTTGGTGGCTTATTAAAATGACCTCCACTGGGCAATCAGTTTACCCAATCTTGATGATGATCTTAAATGATGATGATCATGATAGTGTGAGTGAATTATTCAAAATCTAAAGATGAAAACATGAAAAATAATGAAAAAGAAAAAATTAACAAATCAATCAACACAATGAAAAAAACAAGCAATGAACATGAAAAAATGAGAATCCAAACAAAAAAGAGACAAACCTGACATCGTCTTGGATTATGAGGTAATAGATTTCTCATTAATTATCTTTCATAATTACTAACACCAAGTTAGACCCCTGATTGGAGTTTCAACTAGTTAATTGAACAAAAAGAGAGACATCAATCAATAGAATCCACACCTAAAAAAGTACCCATCAAGTGACACAAATCAAAACAAAAACAAGAACGAGATAAACATTAAAGAAATGGACAAATTAACCAAACCTTTTGTATCGAATCATATTATCTTTTCCAATAAAACCCATTTGTAAACAAAGATACTATTAATTGGCAATTAAAAATTGTCAACTTTCAAATAAAAAACCACCAAGAATCCTATTAGGATTATCCTAAATCAAAGTCAAACAAAAAACTTTGAAAGTTTAACTTTCTGACC